CAAGTGATCGACCTCCATAGATTACGTTGGCTGGGACATGTGTTACGCATGTCATGAAATAGCTTTCCACGGCGAGCGATCTTTTCCGAGGCAGGTAGTGGGTGGAAAAAGGTCAAGGGTGATCAAACAAACACCTGGCACGAGGGTATGAAATCCCTAACCAGGAATCTGGGTCACATAGGCCCCGTTAGGCTCCCTGGCTGGGGACCTCGGGATGAACGTAACCGATGGTTGGAGACACTAAGTGAAATAGCTGGTTGTCGTAGATAGTGGCGTTCGTGCATGTTCTCAGTTTCTCTGTATCATTAGTCCACTGAACTTTTCAATTTTCGCGTCGATCCTACTTTCAACCTTTCCTGCTTCTCTCCTAATGGGCAGCCAAAAGATAACAGTTAAAACCGGCGCACGATAGTGCATGGTTAATGGTTGTATAAACTGAAATGTATATGCTTTGCTCCCTCTAAATGCAAAGTTCTTTTTCAAGAGTAGGAAAACTGTTCGTTGTAATTACCAATGTTGATGATCGGTTGGAGGAAGCTTTGTTTACCTAGGGGCCGTATAAATAGCTGGTTACATTTGAAATCAGACAACCATGAATCTGGTAAAAGCCGGACTGATGCTCACCATTCGTCTCCTTCTCATAAGGATGAAGATTGAATGTGAGGATGAAATGTCACTACTGGAAGTGGATTCCCGTGCCTCCATTGGCCTGTACACGTATCCCTTTATATCTTAATCAGGACTGGTCATCGGTGCATAGCATGGCGTACCAGTATGGACAAACTACCGGTGGCATTTATCGTGATCTGTCCTTCCCCACTGTCCGGTTGGGTTCCGAGGGGCTGTTGAGTATTGTCGAATCGAATTTCAGATGGGTGTGGCGTAGAACCTTAACCAGTGATGTAAATGTTTATTGTTTATTTATTGATCCCCCCTCCGTCCTGCTGGGCACATAAAGTACGAGATAGAGAAGAAGTAGGATGGATACAAACCAACAACAAAGGTTCCTGTCATCTAATCATGTCAATGCTATTGTCTCTGTTTACCTGTTCCCTGTGTTTGTAACAGGTACTTTGTATAGTGCTGAACCCTTTGCTATTTTAAGATATCTGATTACTCAATAAATAAATAGTAGTGATGATAATGGCTTTCATATTAACTGCTCTATCGGGCCAAGTAGATCTCGGAAAGTTCTTTCGCCATTGTATTGCATTTTTAAATTTCCCTCTTCCTTATCTTTTTTCGTTTTTCAGTTACACTTCTGCCCATTAATTGTCGTGGTAATCCTTCTAGACAGCGAAATCACCTCCCGATATTTTGGTACATTCGAACTTGACGTTTGAAATCATCATTATCCCTATGAATTTTCTATCTGGTTTTAGCGTTTTAAATGTCGTTTCGAGATTCCGTGGACTATGTGGCCCAAGAGCGTGTCACTCAACTCGCACGTACTTACTGGCTTCCGAAGTCTGCACTCGAGCGAGGTACTACATCTGTTGCCGACTCGAACGAAATCCAACCGCTCGTTTCGAACGTTCTCGAGAGGATCTATAAGGAGGAGTTGTTGACATCAGGATTTTCGCATCGTCGCTGTTTAGCTTTGGAATTGAACCAGTATTTAGAGCGATGGTTGTGGCCTCATTTTGACCCAGACACCTCTAGTCGGGCACATTTGCTATCGATTTGTGCCATGGTGAACGAAAAATCCCGAGGTCGTGTTCCCATTTGGCAGGTAAGCAGCTCCGATTGATTTGCATTGGGAACTGAAACACGCTCACATGTAATGTGAATTGTGCACGAGAGACGCCTGGCTCGACACGAGCATGCAATTATTAATCTTTTGAACAAATACGACGTATTTTTTTAGTAGTAGTACTAGCGGTGTTATTTTGAATGAGATTATTTCTGCCACAGGTTTAATTCGAAGAGGAATGGAATACTTCTCTTCACATTAATCAACACTGATAGACCATCTTTCCGATCAACTTGGTTATTCTGG